TTCAGATAAATGACTGGTATCAAATATAAATTTGTTTTCGATCATTAGCAAAAATTATTTCTAATAGTTTATAACAAGTCCCCCTTATAAGTAATTTTAAAACTAACTTTTACAGTTCATTAATTTCAGTATATGGTGACTAGAGTATTTAAAAATGTTTAACTTATGGTTCATTATTTAATTATAATTGTCAATTAGTATTATACCAACCCCAAATATTAAAATGAGTAATGTTTATGGTTGAATATTTCATACACATTGTTGTACATGTTAAAATTTAAAAATAGATCAATAATTTTATGATTCTCGGTGTATTAATTAAATGTTATTTAAATCAGCATATAGTATTTCATATGATCCATTACTAAATTAAATTTTATTTGATGTATTTTTTGAAATTTCATGAGAATTCTAAACATCTACATAATGTTTATTTATTTTACAAAGTGTAAATCAATTGCTTACTGAAGAAACACAAAAAGGTATAAATTATTGTGTACAGATGTTGCAAACAGTAAACTTTTCCCAAGGACCTCACGCAGACGCGAACCAACTGGCACTAGCAGTTTCTCAAAATTTGAACAATCAAAGAAGTGCAATGTACAAAAAACAAAAAATTTTGATAAGAGACCAAAACCTAAAGGACAATATCATGGCGGTTCAAAGGAGGATACCAAGGTTGATTCCCAAATTTAATTATGCTGACAGTCACATCTGAATTAGATCTAAATTGAATAGTTTTCTTTGCAGGTAGTGCAACTAGGATTAGCTGAGCCTGGCTCAGTAGTGGTCCAAGGAAGTAAGAAGCAGAACTTGAATCATCTGCTGAATTTTCATTATGAGCCACGTGAAATGCAAGGTGGTTCAGGTACATGGAGTCATGGAAGATCAATAAAAGGTTTCTCTCGTAACAGTAATAGGTGGCTTCCACCAGTACAGCGACATAAGTACAATAAGGAACAATTTTTGCAAGCCAGGTTGGATATCATATATTAACATTGGTATTAAAATAATATTGAGAATATCAATAATAACATAAGTAAATTTTATTCTTTCTTAGCTGCCAGTTTGTTGTAACTGCCAATGGAAATTATACATTATATTTAAGTGATCCTGATGTACTAGTTGATTGGAAACTGGTAGAACAAATTGTAAGTTATAAATATATTTATGAAATGCTTTTTAAATTTTATATTTTTAATAATAATAATACTCTATAGCCCTGAAAACTTATCATGTCCCATATGTTTATGTTCACCAGTTGCTGGAAAAATGACACGTTGTGGTCATGTTTATTGTTGGCCTTGTATTCTTCATTATTTGTCACTTTCTGATAAATCCTGGCGTAAATGTCCTATTTGTTATGAATCCATTCAGAAATCTGATTTAAAAAGGTAATTTATTTGAATGTGAATGCCAAATGAAATTTCCTTGTTTATGGAATAGTGGATTAAAATATGTTTCTATATTTTAATTTCAGTGTTACCGAAGTCACACAAAGTACATTAAATTTGGGAGATACTATCACTTTGCGTTTGATGCGCCGTGAAAAAGGATCGCTGCTTACAGTGCCTGTTGGATCTACAATTCAAAATCCAACAAATTTTTTCCAAGTTTCAGAGACTGTTAGTAATCAAGTGTATTCAAAGCTTCTTATTGCGAACACAAAAGATGTAAGCTCTTGAAATTTTTGAAAATTAAAATGCAAAGATTTAAAAACGTCAACGTTAATTATGATTCGTATCATAAATTATAATTCAGGTCATGAATATTATTGAACGCGAACGTGTTCAGTTGAAACTCGAATTGTCGGATAATCCTGATTCTCCGGAGAATTGTTATATTGAACAGGCGCTTGATGAACTTTCAAAAAGGGAAGAGTTGTTGCAAATGGTAACATTAATTAAAGTATATTTCAATTCCTAATTTAAAACGTTATGAATAAATTTTTTTGTAAATGCAAATTTTCTGTAATAAAAACATTTTTTTATAGGTCAAATCAGACTCAGAAGTCGTTCCTGAAAACGGAACTGTAATATCGCAAACAGAAGGTAATAATATTGAGAAACAACTAACTCAACCGGAGTCCCACGATTGTAAAGAAATATGTACTTTGTCAAAGGATATAAAAAATGTGGACGAAGAATCACCAAAATCTGTAGAAAATTCACCTAATGGTGCTCAATCAACCTTAGGAATGCAGAAATTCTTTTATTTCTATCAAGGTTCTTAACAATAATTTGTTCTTTCTTGTAATATGTAATTTATTTAGAATGCAATATAATATAATTACTAAAATTGGTGGCCTTTAGCTGAAGATGGTCAACATTTATATCTTCACGCAATGAATGTCAAGATGTTAGAGATGCAATATGGAAATCTTGAAAATTCTCCACATGTTATAACGGGAAAACTCTTAGAAAGAGAAGGAGGAAGTCTTACGGAAGATTTAAGACGTAGATTGAGATATTTATGTCACTTGCCACTGACTTGCCAATTTGAAGTAGCTGAAATTGAACTAAAACCACCAATTGTATCGAAAGAAGTTTTATTTTCGTTCCAAGGTATTTTTATTACTATACAAAAAACTACTTCTCTTTGATTGCTATCAATATTTCAACAAATATTGCGATTAATTTTATAGATCAGTTGACATTAAGACACAAACGTAGGCAACAACAAGAACGTGAAGAAAGAAAAAGGGAAAGAAAAATCATTGAAGAGGAAAATAAGCGAATGGGAAAGTATCCGACGCCTATAGTACACATTGATTCTCGGCGACATTTTCCACAATGGCAGCCGGAACTGCTATTTTCAGAGTATGTACATTTTTTTCATTGCAAAGTTTTAAGTTTTTGGTAGAAAAACGTTTTTATACACGCTTGTATACACAGTGTCCCGTTAGAATTCGAACATCTAAATATTTCCATTGTTTC